AGTTTATGGAAAACAACACTCATATTATCAGAATTGCTACTGGTGATGTAAAACAATTAGAAGGGGTGGAAACCATGACAAACTGCCAAGACCCCGCAACATACATTGACAACTGTATAGACACAATGTTTAAATATAATATTTTCTTAAAAATATGTAAGAGAGTAGGAGCAAAGGACAGCGTAGAAGGAGAAAGAAGCAGAAAAATATTAAATGATATGTATAATGACTGGTGGGAAAACAACATTCCACGCAAAGAGTTTATACTTAAATACAGTTATTTAACCGATGACATCATGGCATCAGAGCATAATATCGCTTATACCAATATGAGATGCGAAAATGTAGCAAATGAGATTAGAGACAGATTAAACATAAGTGAGAAATATGTAGTGGGTGATATTTTGGTTGCCAGAACATGGATTAAACAACCAAGGGTTAATATCAATTTGAGATACAGGATTACAAAGATAGAAGATGATGAATTAGGGAAGCAAATAACATTACAGAATATAGCAAGACAAGAAGATGAGTTTATGTTGTCTGAACCTATTGTAGATAAAAACTTCATCTATCCTTACTGTGCTACTTGTCATTCAAGCCAGGGGTCAAGCGTAAAGGAAAGCATAACTATTCACGAATGGGACTTACCCATAACCAGCAGAGAGTGGATATGGACGGCATTGACTCGCTGTGTTGATTTTAGGAAAGTTAAATTTTATTGTAATCCAGACTTTGATAAGCAAATGGATAAAAATATGATAATGAGATATTTTAAAAACAAAGTAGAAAATTATAAGATACAAGACCGTCGCGCTCAAAGAGAAATTAATGAGGAAGAATACATTAGTGCCGAATGGTGTTTATCACGGTTTCGCGCCAGATGCCAAAAGTGTAATACTTCATTTAACTTTGAAACGAAGAAAGGTAAATTATGTAGCAATTTTACTTGTCAGCGCCTTGATAATTCAATCGCTCACCATATAGATAATTCAACTTCATTCTGTGTATATTGTAATGTTTCAGCTCATTAAGATTTTAATATTTTTTATATTAAAATCTTAGTTTTAGACTAAAAAAGGTTTAAAGAAATAATACCTATATATAGTAGAGAGTAATGAAGGAACAAGAAGTAAATAATTATATCAATAAGAAATGCTATGACTGTTGCCACTTCAAAAAAGAACATATGGAATTATACAAAATGAATTTACCTAATGGAATAGTTAATAATATTATTGATTATGCTTTGGGTGAAGAAGATGAATGTAAAATTTGTCAGGAATGGAGAAATAATCAAGAATTAATCAGATATCATTTAAATTTGGAAAGAAGAAATAATAGAAATGTTGGAGATGAAATTTTGATATTTTTAACTGTGTATGAAAGACCACCTTATAGTTATGTTAGAATATTTCTCAAAATCGGTAAGAAAAAGTATGAAATGATTAACCACATATTATGGATGTTGTTGAATCGTAGGAGAGACGGGTCTGATTTAAAAGGAGACATTAAATCATATATTGAAAGCAAAAAGTTTAATGTGAAAAATACCGTGAGAGATATCAATATTATTTTTGAACTGATGCATGACAGACGTAAGATATATACACAATTTAATAATCATCAATTAACTTATTATCCTGAATTTAAATTATAAATAATATTATCAATATAATAAATCTTAATTTATTATATGGATAAACAAAAAATAATTAGTGATATTTACTATGACAAAAGCGGATACGGTAGTAAAGGAATAACTTTGAAATATGCCAGACAGAAAGATAAAACTATTACTGCGGACGATGTTAATGAGTTCTTTAAAAAGAATGTTGAGGAAAAAAGGAAAATGCGAGGGCAGAATAGTTTTGTTGCTCCTCATGCCTTCTGGGAATTTCAGTTAGATTTGTTCTTTATTTCAAAAAATGATTTGGAAAATCAAAAGTTTAGAATTGGATTAATATTAATTGATATATTTAGTAAATATGCTACTGTAATACCTATTGCAAGTAAGCAACCGCCAGACGTATTAGCAGGAATAATGGAAGGCATTAAGAAAATGGGCGGAAAACCCAAAATGATATACAGCGACGAAGAAGGCAGTTTGTTTAGTTCTACCATTACAGATTATCTTGATGAGGAAAAAATTGAATTACACACCACGAGAGGCCACCCTGCTTTTGGAGAAAGATTTATTAGAACCTACAAAGATATGCTTTTTAAAAGAGTTGATGCGGATGAAAAGAAAGGTAAAAACAATATACAATGGATAGATTACAATTTAGAAATATTATTGACATATAATAATAAATTAGTAAGTTCCGTTACGAAAATGACACCATTAGAAGCAAGGAAGAAAAAGAATGAGTTTGAGGTGAAACTGAATATATCAATGAATGCCAGAAAAACCCGTGTGTATCCTGATTTAGATGTAGGGGACAAAGTCAAGATAATGAGAAAGAAAGCGATTAGCGAGAAAGAGAGAACCAGTCATTATTTGAAAACTATTCACACCGTAACTAAAACAGAAACAAAGTTAGGGCAGAAATATTATTCTGTTAGTGATTTTCCTAAACCTCTATTGCGACATGAAATGTTGAAATTATAGCTTTAGACTAAAAAGGTTTAAAGAAATAATACCTATATATATTAGTGATAAATATGGTTATATTTACAGAGGTTGAACAGGAAGAAATTATCAATGAATTCTTAACTTATAGTGAACAACAGGAAACTAAAATAATTGATGAGTTTTTGAGTGATAATGATAATAAAACAGAAGAAGAAGATGACAGTTACGGATTTGTAACTGAAAAACGGTTAGAAAAGGAAGTTACAGAACATCATAAAATGATAAACAATATTGAAACGAAAAATTACATCCCATTAAAACATGCAATGATAAAATATATGGAACAAACCAACAACCAACGAATAATTAGAAATGCTGGAAACTATTCATACAGTCAAAAGACATCCAATTGCTGGTATTTAAGCTTTAGAGAATTTGAATGGTTAATCGAAATAAAAAAGAATGGCAACAAATGGATTTGTAGCAAAGAAAAAATAGATGCAGTTGATTTTAACATATTGTATAAATATAAAATGTTTGAAAGAAGATTTGAATAATTATAAAAAACGAATGAACCAGACCTTGCCCATAATATTTCTACAAAATTTGTGATAAAATTTATTGTAAAATAATTTATCATAATTGTTGGAATAATATTTTTTGAAAATTTTGTAAAACTATATTTTCTAAAATTTATATTTTAAAATTTATATTTTAAAATATGGATGAACTTACTAGGAAATTACCTGCTTTGAAATGTTGAAATTATAGTTTTAGACTAAAAGGGTTTAAAGAAATAATACCTATATATATTAGTGAGAATGGAAATTAATAAATTACCTGTTGAAATATTGAGCAATATTAATTCCTTTAAATTTGGCAAACCTGAGTATATAAAAATAAACAGTTGTCATAACGAAGCATTGAAGAGAATACAGACCAATTACAAAATTAAAACAACTGAACCACAAACAATATACAAATACCTAAAATTAATAAATGGAGGAACAGAGAAACGAGTTTTCAGGGGATATGATATTGAAAGAAGAGTGCCATTTGGAATGGACAGCATTGAAAGTATTATCAACAAGCAAAAGAATGAGTTATTAAGTTTAATCTATGAAGAAGTAGAAGATAATACTGATTTTCGAGCCAAATTAGATGTGTTTTTAGACATAAGAGTAAGGCATAGTGAGCGAGAGTATAAAGAAGGCATGTTTTCAAGTTTAAGCATAAGTTTCTGTCCTTATGAATTGAATGAAGATAATTACATAAACATAAATGAAAACAATATTAACAAAGTGTTGAGTGAAGCTGTCAACCATTTGAAGAACGGCATTCAAAATTTGCACCAGTGTTTTTACTGTTTTGGCATACAATCATTTGGTTTCAGATTAATCATTAAAGAAGATGTTTAAATAACAGCATTGTTAAGATAATTTGTTATTATCTTAAACATGTTGATATTTTGGACTTTGTTATGTTCCTTGTTTGGTCTTTTGTGTGGTTTGTTGTTTGGTGGTTTTTTTCTATGAGGGTCTTACCCCTAAGCTCGTTATGGATTATGTCTAAAACCATTTAAAGGGATGATGCCTTACTATGGTAGAGGATGAGCGAAGATATGAAAACTTGTAAGCAATGTGGTAATACTTATTCTTCTGATTTGTTTAAGAATAGGATGAAACTTTGTAATTACTGCCGAGAACAGAATAAGATTAAAAATGATGAAACGAAAAAGCAATGGAAATTGAATAATCCTGAAAGGGTAAAAGGGTATAGGAAAAAATACGAAGAAGAGAATATTGATGACATTAAGGAAAGGAAAAAGAAATGGAGAGAGAGCGAGAAAGGGAAAGCAACAATACAAGAATACCGACAGAAAGTTCATTATTGCGAATTGTGCGATTATGAAGTTAAAAAAGGTAAGAAGTCTCAACACGAGAAATCTGGAAACCATCAATATTTTTTACAGAAAAGTTTGAATGGTGAAAAAATGGAACGACCGGATAGTAAAGAAATTGTAAATGGCGTGTTGTGGTTTAAATGTTTGAAATGTAAGAAGAAAGAAATTTATTATGCTTGGTGCGACCATGTATCAAGTGAAGGACATATCAATAAATGTTGCGATGTTGATTGAAATGGTTTAAGTTATTCTTTAAAATGAATAACTTGAAGCATTTTATATAGATTTTGGCGAGTGGTTTGATTATATGCTGGTGTGGCGCGGGGCGTAAGCAAATGATGAGGTTGTGGGTAAGCTGACTCTTGCTGTTGAGCCCTTGCAAGTATAGAACATACAAACCTCTACCTGAAACTGCCCCTCAAGTCAGGATACAATGATATAAGTGGTATATAGTCCCCATATCTCCAAACCCATACCTAAAAGTGCGTGTTTTTGGGAGGCACCCTTTGGAGAACCCGAAAGGAGTGCGCCCTCTTCGACCACCTCTGCCCGGTGAACACGGCGGTGAAGGTGGAGCGACGCTGCGAGCAGGGCCGTACCACGGATCAGTGCTGCGATGCCCTTTGCAGCGCCGGAAGCCGCAAAGAGATGCAGTGAAATGGGATGATCCGTCTATAAACCATCCAACTGGTGGTTTCCTTTTTTCGGGAACTGCTGGGTTTCCCGCATTCCCTACCTATGGCAGCAGCAAGTATGTCCAAGCAATGTTCAGGTAACCCTTGATTGGTGGTTTGGATTCGGATTTGAACCTCTGGTTCTTGTGGCGGTACATGGGAAGCCCCTCCTCAACCACCAAACCACCAATGCCAAAACCACCAAGGAGCGGGAAGCTGACATGTGTGGCATATATGAATGCGTCTTTTTCTCACTTCCCGAGTTCCGTTTCGGGCTTTAATCACGTTTTTGGGTTTGGACCATTTTGGCGGTAAGCACAAAGTTCCAGGCCTTCTTTTGGCCCTTCCACTCAGGAAGTGAGGCCCCCCCCCCCCCCAAATTGGTGGGGGTTCCTTGTTGTTTCTGTTTAAAACCACCCGGAAAAAAGGGGTAGCCTCAACAAAAAGGCACATCCACATGAGTTTGAGACCGCCAGATGTTTGATTAATTGACATTCGAAGAGATTCCTTCGAAAGTCTTCAAAAGAGGGGGTACCTGTTGTTGCTTTATTTCGTTAAAGCATGGCAAGTTGGGAAGACACCCAAGGCTGGGGGTCTCCACATGTGTTTCACACACATATTGGGGGACAAATTTCACAAAATCGGACGTGTCTTTTGTTGATGTACGCTTTGGCTGGGCCAGGAAGAGGATGCGGGGCTTACGAAGTTGTAGGAACACCTAGGAAACGTGAGGCAACCTAGGGCAACAGAAGGCAACAGATGGCCAAAGAAAACATCTACCAACATCTATTAACCCTGCTCCAAACACAAAATAATGAGAAGGTTAGGGGTTAATCAGGCCAAGCAAGGAAAACCACGCTGCCACATCCCCTGTTTCAAGGACCCTCCCAAGGATAGCGGTTGTAGGCTTGGGAGTATACCGCCCAGTAGGACACAACAAGGAACCCTGCCACCCCTCCCAATTGTTCTTATTCGGCGTGGTAGGGTCCTTGTTTGCGTGACCCATGCCTTCAAAAGCAATACTTAAACATGCCCTTGATATGCAATTGTCTGGTTCACCCGTTCTGGCCCACTTTGACGGAAGATAGATTCTCGATCCGCTGGTCAGGTGGTTTATTGCCCATTTATATCCAAAGTTGAGCAGTGCCCAAAACGTGCCTGTTTTGTTCGGAATTGCTAAGGCTTTTGCGCACTTTCATTGTGGGTGAGACCAGCGCTGCTCATTTGGGGCGCACTTGTGGTTGGCGATTTGAGTTTGCTTTGGTTTAAGGGCCCGCCAAGAAAGCATGTTGTTTCCTTAATTGTGCTTTCCCTTTCAACCCCCTCCCCCCCAGGCGCACCCTCAAACAACACACACACCCATTTAAGTTTTTTGAGGAAGGGGGGGTGAACCCTTTGGTAGGTTTCAAAGGGGCTTCCCGAACTCCCGAGAGGACGAGCACCATTTTGTTTTTGTTTGGGTCTTGTTTTGCAGAAAATTTAGTCCAGGAACCGCGGGGGCATACGGGGACGCTTGTCGCTTGGCTCCAAGGCGGCTACAGCTGCACGGAGGGATGGGTGGCGAATGCTACGGCCATGGGGGAGTTCGGGACCAGCCCTGAGGAGTGCTCGATTCGGGGGAGGATTCGGGGGATCGCCGAAAGGGCGGGGTGGGGGAAGGGGGTGGGGGAAGGGGGTGGGGGAAGGGGGTGGGGGAAGGGGGTGGGGGAAGGGGGTGGGGAAGGGGGTGGGGGAACGGGGTGGGGGGGGGGGGGATGGGAGCAGGGGGCTGGGGGGGAACCATGGTTGAAGCCACAGACTCCTAGCTGAACATGCTTGGAATTGCTTAGGGCCCCCGCACCTCTTGGAGCTGCGAAGTGATTTCTGGTGAAGTCTCGGCTTGGTTTGAAACGCTAGCCAAGCAGGCGCTCTTTGTTTTGGACACCGATCCAAGTCGGTGCAAATGGTTCCTCTTCAAGTTGTTTTACGAAACCCCCTTTTGCTTGGTAATTAAGGGGAAACCAAAACTCTACTGCTATTGGGTTGGATCTTTAGACTTTAACTTTTTGGATTCCCCTCATATTTCCTTTCAACCAGCAAAAAGTTAAACTTTTTGCTGGGGGATCTACAGCACCCAAGAAAAGTACCACCGAAATCCATGTTGGTTCCCGAATCTTCAGCCTCCTCCCCTCCCACAGGCGCGAAATCGGATCGGACGCCGCCCGCGCTCGCAGGAATGCTGCACCGCCACCTGCGCGAGATTCTCCTGCGACCCGGTGCCTTGGCGCGGAAGCGCCTGCGGGTCGCTCCAAAAGCATCACATCTTGCATATATATATATATATATATGATACGGATATGTGCATTATAACACAATGCATGGCATTGCCTTGCGGAACATTGTATTGCACGGCATTCCATTACATTGCATTACGTTCCGTTGCATTACATTGCACTACATATGCATACATATATACATGTAGATATACATTACGTGTGTGTTTGTGTGTTTGTGTGTTTGTGTGTTTTTGTGTTTGTGTGTTTTTGTGTTTTTGTGTTTGTGTTTGTGGTTATGATTGTGTTTGTGTTTGTGTTTGTGTTTGTGTTTGTGCTTGTGTTTGTGTTTGTCTTTGCGTTTGCGTTTGCGTTTGCGTTTGTGTTTGTGTTTGTGGCTGGTTGTGGTTATGGTTGTGGTTGTGATTATGGCTGTAACTGTGGCTATGGCTATGTTTGTGTTTGTGTTTGTGTTTGTTTCTGTGTCTGTGTCTGTGTCTGTGTTTGTGTGTGTGTCTGTGTCTGTGTGTGTGTGTGTGTTTGTGTTTGTGTCTGTGTCTGTGTCTGTGTTTGTGTTTGTGTTTGTTGAGGGTAACATTACCGGTTGGTTGAAGGGCAAACCAAATGGAAAGCCACCGTTTTGCGGGTCGCCATATTGTGACACACACATATGCCACTTCTACAACCCTTGGATTCCCCTTTACAGCTTTGTTTACCCAATGCGTACCCTTCTATAGCCCAGAATGCAGGTTGGTGACCCGGCCTTGGGGGACTATGTGGTTAAAGCCACGCCCCCATCTCTCAAAATCCAGGTTAGTAAGTTAATCTCAAGGAGGGTAGCCTTTTAGGAAAACTATAAACTGGCAGGTTCCCCGCGGACCGGCGGAATGTTATTTCCGTTCTTCAGAGATTAAGGATCAGCCCAGAAGGAGCCAACTTATTACTTATTGGTGGCATTGCCTTTGTTTCCCTCTTACCTTTGAATGTATATATATATATACAAGTTCTCCTTCTTGGCACATTCCTTAGCGCTTGATTATGTACGTGTGAATAATATGGGGCTGGGGTACACTCTCATGCAGGCGGGCTGCACGAGGACGTCCATTTGACATGTTTCAGCTTACTTCGGCTGGAACCTCCCTCAGTGATTCTATTTGTCACCACCTGGACCCTCAAACTACCCATACAAAAGGGAAGTCACCCCAAAATATGGGCAATATACTATTATTATTGGTAGTTTGAGGGTTCAGGTACATCAAGGATGTTTTTGGCAACCAGGGCAAGTAAGCCAGGCCGATACCCGGCGTACGCTCTGAGTCTGGTTCACAGATCCTACTCTGGTCAGGCTCTTGCAGCCTTACGAAGCATCAGTGCCAGGATTGTCCTGACCGCCGGACGAGAGGGAACCTTCATGTAAGAACTTGCATGGGCTAAAAATGCCCGGCCACCTTTCCTGGATCCCCCGTTGTCATCGTTTTATGACGTCGGCAATGTGTGATGTAGACCCTCTGGACACTTGTTGTCTGGTAAACCCTTGAACCACTTGAATTATTTCTCCGTTTTTGGGTGGCTTCCCGATCAGTGCTTCTTCCTTTTCGCTGGATTGCCAATTGCGCTCTTGTGTGGCATACGTACTTGTCCTACTCCCAATACCCAGGATTTCTTGATCATATCTTGGGTTTGGCAAACTCGTTGTACCCGAGAGATGCCAACCGTCGGAGTCGGGGAGGGGGTCTGTTTTCCGGGCGCTTCAGGCGGATGCGTGGCTGCAGAAGGATCGTCAGAAGGCACTCAACCTGGCCGAAGCCTTAGCTCCGGGCACGGGGCGTGCTGCTCCCTTGCATTTGGTTTTTTGTTGTGGACCCAACCCTGGGGGTTTGCGATAGTCCCAATTTGGAGACGTTGAGGTGAGGTTTTGAGTGGACCCAACCCCCGGGGTTTGCGAGATATGTTTTTCTACATTTGGAGTAGATGATCTACAAGCAGCCTCAGAGCACAAGGTTGTCCTTGGAGTTCTAGGGCAGTAGGGTGAGAGACCAGCTAACGACTCGCTGGAGTCGAAGTGGTGGTGAGGGATAGCCAAAGTAAAAGGATGGAGGATACTGCAACAACCATGCCCGAAAAGCAGAATGTTGACCACAGATAGACCTGGCGGAATCATAGGCCCTATAGGGGGTGTTGCTTGCAAACGCGAAGCGCCCGCAAGACCATGTGAGCGGAAAGGCAGCTTTAGGACTTTCTCCTTTAGAACAATGCATTTTGGGGTAGACTGAGTTCCCCAGAAGTCTGACCAAGAATCCATGGAGCACAAGGCTCTCGAAGGCCTTTTTAAACCGAGAGTACAGGCGACTCATAGTTTTGGAACGGATAGAGGGCGAGAGAGAAGTGGCACCAGAGAAGGGTGTATGGGTCCACCGCGAAAGGAAGCACCGGCATCGCAAACAGGCTGACCTGATGATTGAAGCGTGAAAGCGCTGCAGAGACAATGATCACATGTGATGTGTGTCTTGGTATGATGTTGGTGGCCACTTGTTAGCACAAGTTCCGCTGTAGCACGAATTTGTTTCATTGGCTCGCGGCTCTACATGAAACAATCCAGAGTTTTGCCGAAATCTGCGAAAGGAACGCGAAAGCTTCGCAAAAGGACGAGCTGTGCCGGGGGGGGCCTATCGCATCCCTGGAAGTTGTTTTCCCCACGGCGCTTTCAGCAATGGACGCAGAAAGGCTAGCCTTGCGCCGAGCACCGAGCAGCCTAGCACGATGGAGCGGCTTGATGAGTACAATAGACAGATCTGCCTGGACGTTGCTCAAAAGCAGTTGTATATGGCTTCCCGCGAAAGAAACCATGGCCGCAAAAGGCCGACGAGAGAGAAGTTTCGCAGGCACCGATATTCTTGAACAACACCATATGCAAACTCCCATTTATGAGCAAACCATTGTTCAAGCCCCTATTCTTGAGCCAAGCACGGTCAGGTTTGCCATGGGATCCATGGTCGTTGGCCCGCAGGTCGGCTCGGACCCAAAGACCTGCTGCGAGCCCGCGTGCCGGCGCTACACCTGCAGCCCTGGATGGCTGCCCAAGTCCGGGGCAGCTCGGCGGAAAAGTGGCGGAGGGGCGGGGAGAAGAGGAATGGCCGGGAGGTGAGTCGAATGTGTGAGTCTCTGCTTGCTTTCCTCATGGGTTTGGACCATCTTAGAAGGCTCCCCCAATAGCTTAAACTCCAGGAAGCGATTGTGCGCCATGGGCGTCTATTCAGGAAACCAAAGCCATGACCCAGGAGTTTTGACCATGGCACAAAGGTCATAGTCAACTTAGATACAAGGTTCACGGGAACAGTTACTGAGGGGTGCGGGTTGGACCACCTAAGTAGGAGGGAATCAGTTGGTTGGATGGTTCGGATGGCTTGTTTACGTAGGGTTCGTTGTGGGTTGCGATTAGGGTGTGTTCAGGGTTAGATTTGTGTTTTGTGAATTTCGTAGTGCGTTTCGGCCCGGGTTGATGTGAAGGTTTGTTGGACCCCCCGAATATAAGCATGTGGTTGTATATATTCTTGTCTGCCTGTACTGCTTTGTGAAGGTTTGAGCTAGGCGCGGCCATACGGTGGATCCCAAAATATGGGCATAAAGAACAATCACAACCCAATGTCTGTAAACCAAAACAGTATCCGGGAGGGGGGGTTATCGGAAGCGGATTCCGACCCAACCCAATGTAAAATCAGAAACACTTCTCACAATATAACTGCCCTCTAAGCGAGCATCCTTTAAACATTTATCCTTTCAAGGGTCCAATGGGAAGTCCGGCCTCTTTTTTTTGCCGGAGGAAACCGGGGAATCTGGGAATTTGCTTCAAGGGGGGGGGGACAATGTCAAGGGTTTGACGGTGGAGCAGTCTCCCGGAGAAAAGCCGGGGAATCTGTGCGAAGAGGGGGGGACAATGTGAAGGGCTTTGCGCTTGAGCAGTCTTCCGGAGAAAAACGTCGACTATTGGCTTGGGACAATGTCAAGGGCTTGCCGGGTTGTCGCAGGTGGAGTCCCTGAGCAAGACCGGGGATGAGGACTGCTGCGTGAAGAGCTGCCAGGGCTACAGCTGCAGCGCCGGCCTGGCGCCTTGAAGAATTTGAACCGCGGGGATCGGTCTCTTTTTGTGGCTGGTTTATTGATTGTTTGTTGTTTATATATATATATATATGTATGTGTGTGTGTGTGTTTGTTTTGTTCAGTTTGCACCTGGACCCGCAAACTTCCCACCACAAGCAATGGGTGATTGCCCCAATGATTGATTGCCCCAAAACTTCCTACAAATATGGGTTGTTTGGACCCTTGTGCGAGGATGGATCTGAACCTGCGTCTCATTTCGCTGCTACAGTTGTGAGGTGATTTACCTGGAAAGCCGATGCGCCATTTAAAGACACACCCAGTTCTACTGTGGTTTCCTCCCGTTTGCTCGTTTAGTTCAGGGTAGACCAAATATGGGTGTATTTGAATCTAGACGGTGGTAGTACATTTGATGTCCCTTTGAAACCAACGCCAAAAGGGCACCCTGAAAAAGGACACGTTTCCAATATGGTTGTCAGAATCTGAGCATATCTCATGCGGGTTGAGTTTGACAGGTATCTGTGTCTGTAGTGGGGCCTCTTGGTCATTCATGGAGTTATAAGCATCCAACCTGGCATTACCGGGTTTATATTGACCCAATCTATAATCTCCTCCAAACTGATCTTATATGCTTGGAGTGCACCAAATATGGTTGCCAGAATATAATAGTATGGTTGCCATAATACTGTGGATGGACAAAATCCTGCATCACTTTCAAACATGGGAAACCATTTGTTTGTTGGTATTTACAGGGGAATCTCATCATTCCAGGGAACCTTAGGTGGTGCAGAATTTCGTCTATCCACAGTGTGGATGGATGGAATCCTGCACCACCTAAGAAACCCATTCTGGAAACCCTTGATCGTTTGGTATTTAGAGGGGAATCATCATTTGAGGCTCAGGCTTTTTAGGTGGTGCCTAAGAGGATTTCGTGCATCCACAGTCTGGTTGCCATAATATGGCCATGGGTCAAAAGCCCGTACCCCCAGTGAACATCCCAATCCCCACTAAAATAGACTAAGATGGGTGGTGCACCTACCCCAAAATGGTACCATTGGTGTTGACCCACAGCCATATGTGTTTTGTGCGCCAAGTTCTGTCAGGTCCCCAAGAAGAACTCCAGCGAGAGCGCTCTGCTGCCCGGCCACGACGACGACGCCTGCTGCGAGCCCCCGGTGTGCCACGAGATCCGGAATATGCGACCCGGCGTTGAACCCGGCACCCGGAGTTTTCGTTTGAAGGAGTTGAAAGGGAATACTTGCCCCTGCCATTTTGTTTTCTGGCTGGTTCAAAAGGAACAAGGCAGCCCAAAAGGGCAAAACACACAAACGGGTTAGTTAAGTCTGGTAAATGTCCAAAAGGAGAAATCCGAATGAACTCGGTGGCTTCCCTTTTTGGTACATCTCTTTTGACAATTTGTTTTGTGCAGGTTCACCGACCATGGGCCATGACCAAAGACGTGGGGGAGCTTCAAGGTTTCCTATGGCTTGTTTGAGCCTCCGGAAGAATAAGTGACGACCCAAAACAGGGGGGTTCAAGATGTCCTCTTGTGAAACTACTTGACAATTTGAGGTTCGCTAAATATGGACAAAATCAATCAAGTGTTTTGGTGGACAACAAGACTTCGTGGGGGAAAATTGGATTTGTTTTTCTCCAGGGACCGAACTCTACGCCTTCATTTTGCGTTCGCCTTTTCACCACCCAGGGTTCCAGCAAGACAAGGGGAGGTGTTCAATGCAAGCGGAGCGACCTTAGCTTTTGGCTTTCTCAAGACAAGGTTACCCTGATTTCAAAGTTAGTGGCTCACGCATCTTAGGGCAAGGGCCATCTACAGTCAAATCCTTCGGTCTTTGGGACCCGTAAAAGGAGCTTGCAATGAAGGTCCGTAAGCACGAGCCGATCTCTTGCGCAAATCTCAGGACGCTCGCAGCCGGTGGCTGCCATGCGGTGAGTGCCACGACTGAAGGGCGAGGGTCGCAGCCAACTTGCAAGCGTTGTGTGTCTGTCTATTTGTGTGTTTGGGTGGGTGTGTGTGTGTGTGTGTCATGGGGTCCCCCAAAAAAAAGGTGAATATGGATAGTATGGCTATGGATATGGGTAAGGGTGTGAGTGTATGTGTGTGTGTGTTTGTGTGTGTGTGTGCGTGTGCGTGTGTTTTTGGAGTACCCTTTTTGGGTTGTGATGAACAGAACACTCAAAGGACATCCCATTGCGAGGTCTCCAAAAAAATGTGGGTCACATTCGGATTGTTCGGCAATATAAGGAAACAGGCCCCAAAAATGTTTGGGCCATCCCAAGTGTCCCTTAAAAATCTATACTACACATTGTGGAGCTTTCAACCCCCAAACAGGGAACGCTTCCAAGCGCTCGGTGTCCTTTCAGTTGGCCCTTCTTGCAGGCCAGGATGACTGTGAGAAGCACTACTACAAGTTTGACACTGCTTCCAAGACCAAAGTTGCCGCTGGGCTCAAGTTGAGTGGGAGGGGTTGAATGGATCAACCTTGGGGAGGGGGGGGGGAGGATGTCGGGGATGAACCTTTTAGGGGCTTGGGCCTTCGGGTTTTGAGACTACCCTCAGATTCTAACCCATTTTGGTTTAGTCATTGACCTATGCACATAAACAGAGTTGTGCCAACCCGGTGTATCTGCAAACACAAAAGGGAAATCACTCCAGGTGGGGGGATTGCCGCGCTTGCACTAATGACTTTTGCCAAGCGATATCCATCCACTTCAAGTCAGTCTGAAGCTCAGCAGGCGGGACAGTATATTCATAGCTGGAAAACAACGGACAACACCCACATGTTATGCGATACGAAGAAGCAAAGGTCTTGACAAGTGTGGCGAGTGCTGGCTATGGTGTAGGCAACAACCACGGAACATACACACGAAGAATCAAAGGTCTTGAAAGTGCGGCAACCCCCCCCCCCCCCGCCCTCATTGACGCAACATGTTGCGACACGAAGGCACTTTGAGAGCCTAGGTACTACATGTTGGAAAACTGCTCGGCCACACTCTTGGTAAACCAAGCATAGCAGCTTGCGCCAGGAACAGTGAGGATATCCCCAGTTGCACTGTACACTTGTCGAGCAGACCATTTGTTGGCCGCCTTTGTTTGGGTCAAGCTTAGATAAGACTAAACGCAGATGCTTATTTTCCAGACCCGCATGTAGTACCCAACCAGGAAGTGAGGACATAGATCGAAACACACACAAGTCGGACGTCAGGTGGAGTGCAGCTACGATGCGAAGCTTCAAATTTGCCGGAACCGGGGCAACGAGACCACAGGCTGTGGCCTGGCTTCGTTTCGGGCCGCTGAGATTCGGTGTATGGTTAGAATGCGAAAATCTATCGTTTTGTGTGTACGGAAGCTTTGCACCAAGAAATGGGGGGTGGCTTCTCCTCCAAAACGATATGTCCGAAACGAGAGATTGACGAGTTCAGGCCTGCATTCAAGGTTGCAATTATTCTATGACAGCCCCTCGTTGCCGTTTGAGCTTCAAACATCCTGGACCCAACTTTTAGGGGAGACCCAGTATGACAAACCAAAGTTTAGTCGTTTTTGCCAACCCACTTCGGAAGGAAGACTCGCACAATGAGCGAAAATCTGTCCCCGACACTGGCTGAGGTCATTTTGACTGATGGCGCCCCGGAGATAAGCGAGAAAGCCCCGCAGCGCGGAAAATGAGATGCGGTGTCCAGGTTGGGTTTCATTCCGGCAAACCGAATCAGTACTTTAAGGCCTCATGGGGTGGAACCGCAACCTCTTCAGACCGCTGATGTACGTCGATGTGCAAGAAACTATAGCGAACACAATCCGTGGGCTTGTTTGTGTGTGTGTGTGTGTTTGTTTTTAAGGCTACCCTTTTTCGGTCGTTTTAAAGGACAACCAAAAGTACCACCCACCATTTTGGGGGGTGCCCTAAACAAAACACACCCATAAACCAACATTTTGACTGAAATGTAGGTAAAACTATGGGAAGTCGTGCTCGCAAACCTGCCAAGGGTCAAAAGTGGGTTACCACAGATGCCTGCGCCTCCGCATCATTTGCAGGTGAGCAAGAATGGCGAGGGCAATGAGGATTGAATCAAGGACATCGCTTTGTGATTGGGCCGACACAAGCGCTCCCCTACAGTAAGCCAGCCAAAAACTGCGGCTCCAGCGAAAACCGGCTGCAAGCCCAGCTCCCACTTGTGGCTTCGAAAGTTCAAGTCTTTGCGCCATGGCGACGCATGTGTCCTTCGTGCGGCATTCCGGCGCCGCGCACGAGGACTCGACAACAAAAAGCCGGTTGTTCAGAAAGCGGATGCCTTCCTGAAGGGATTTGCCCGGGTGAACCTTTTTAGTACCGTACATCTTTGCCCTGCAAGAAAATTGATGGTACAGTTTGAACTTCAGGTTAAGGGTTGAAGAATGAAGCCAAGCAAAGGACTTCGCGGTGATGCTTTACCTCCAGAGCTCGCCGGCAGATTGCTGCACTCTTCGGTGACTCCGTTGGTTTAAGAAGCATTTTCTAGTTCACAGTGAGGGTCCGTTACTTGGGGGCATCCCTTATTGCAGGTTTTGACATTACAAAATGCAGACTCCTACAAGATGGCCAACCTCCAAGAAGATAAAAGCGGGTTGCTGTTGGAGATACCATGGGCTTTTTGGGCACATGGTTCAAAGGGTTCTATAGCGACCCTCAGCCGGGAACTTGGCCAAGAGACCCGAAAGAGACCACATTGCCAGACTTAACTCACCTTTTTGCCCTTTTGTCTTTCTTCATTTTCCCTTTTAGCTAGCAAGTTAACTTTTGCAGATGTCCGACTGTCCGGAAACAAGCAAAGCGTCATCTCTGGCGCAAGTCACAACTTGCGTCATGCCGCAAAAAAAAACATGGTTCAAGTGAAAGACTGGCGGGTCCATCCCGCATGGTGTGGGGATTTCTTGGAGTGAGTTTCGACAGCTCCGCCAGGAGCTGAACAGCACGGTGAACGCCTTCATCACCCGAGACCGGTCCATCCACGATGTCACAAGGGCGCTCCACAAGGGCAAGGAGCAGACAGTCGATGGGTGGCCGATTTTGTTTTGAGAGTACTCTTTTTGGAATGGTTTCAATGGAACACCAAAAGGACAACCACCAATTGAACGCCTCCCCAAAATGCCATGTCAAGGGTTCAACGTTGGTTTTCCCTTATCCAAAAAGGGGACCCCCTATGTTTGAGAAATACCCATATTGCCAGTTTTGGGTGTTTAAAACATCACTTGCTTATGCCTATCTAAGGTGCGTTTTCCTTGGTAAGGGTGATTCTTCGGGGGGAAATCAGGGGAAACAACACAATGCTGCACTCCGCAATGAAGCCCTGGGGAGCCTCCCAGACGGCTTGAAGCAAAACCCAATGCGCCGAAAAGTATAGCCCATGGCCCGCTGAAAGCTCTTCAAGTGCCTCAGGGTGGGGAACAAATGCAAGACCCGCCATGTTACACTCACTTGTCCTCCAAAAGGTCAACCCTTTTTTTTCCAGGCCCTTTGGGCCGTAAAGGGTTGTATAAGACACACGGTGTGTTTTTCTTTGAGCCTGCCCGTTTCGGTGTGGCTCAAAGGGAAGCCAAAGGGACACCACTTTTTTTGGGATTCCTCTTTTGAGACGCATGGAACCTTTGCAACCTGGGTAGAGCTCTAAATCAACAGGGCACTATGACCAGTCACTGGCATTCTATTTCACGCATGTCCGAAGGCAGAACCAGGGCTGGGCTAAATTGCATGTTGGCCATGTTGCAATACTCCCCGCAGATTCAGGGAGGGGACCCAGAAATCCGATCCAGTTTGTTTAAGGTCCTTGTGGGGGCCCCTTTTTGGGGTCCAAGTCAATTTGCAGCAGGGTTGCCCTTGCTTCCACTCGGTTGGCTCAAGTGCCGACACCGCCGGTCCAGCAAGAAGCCATGACGGCAGGCGGGACTGTTTGGAGCAAATGCGACTCATTGCACTGCTGAGTTTCCAGTGGTTTGGTTCCCCATTTTATTCAAGCACCGTTCTGCTCCAAAGTCAGCCGTTTGCTGGTTTTTTGGTGTTGTCCTGGGAAGAAGGATCCCTGGAAAGAATACGGGAAGTTACCCCTGGAATGATGAAAAACACGCTCTTTGCACACATTCGAATACGCGTTTCCCGATCAGGGGTTCGCGTTTTATGTTTTCAGAACAGGTCGTTGGGTCACCAAGTAAACTGGGCAGCCTGAGAGTTTCTGAGCGTGTGGGTGTGGGTCGAAACTAAACCACCAAAAAACCGCAGAGTTTAGTTCTTGGCAACCCATTTTGCAGGGCAACCCATTTTGGGGTTTCCTATGTTTGACCCCAGCCATGCTGTGTTTACATTGGAGCGTGGTGGTGGGAAAATAGATGGTTCTGCGCTCCTTGACCCCCCTTTGTGGAATACGTGCACCTTCACTGTTTCACGACGCGCTATGACCTCACATGGCTAGTTCTTTGATACCAGAAGATCCCCTCCACCCCCTCCACCTTACCGTGCTGGTCCTCTGCTTGGGGATCTCTTATTTTCGGTATTGTCCATAAACATCCATTTCCATGGAGGCCCCAGAGCCGGCAAAACACGGGGGGATTTTCAGGACCAATCCAGGGAAGCTTTCGGATTCGGGCCTTGAAACGTGATTCTCTATACATGGGTCGGGTTTTGGGGATGTGTGAAAGGAGATTCCTCCAAGCGTGGCTCGGTTTTTGGAGAATCTACATTGTATACAATTGGTTTTTAGCAGTTCGTAGTCACCACGGGATCGGATCTTAGTCACCACGGAATCGGATCTTAGTTGACGTAGATAGAAAAGTGGGAGGTCACCAGGCATTCAACTTGTTTGAAGCGGGGTCCCTTGTCTTCCACCCCACCCACCCCACCCACCCCACCCACCCCACCTCACCCCACCCCACCCCCCCACCCCACCACCCCACCCCCCCCCACCTCACCCAACCACCCCCCCCCCCCCCCACGCCCCTATTGGCCAGGGATTCCCGAACTCCAGGCGTGCAGCCGCGGCCGCCCAGCTTCACCGCCTCTGTGCGGAAGGGCGATATCCCCAAGGAGCGGAGGATTTCTTCGTTTCCAGGCGGAGAAACCAAGACCCGAGGTCGAGAGGGAAATGGCTGGTGGCATGAACCCTGTCTTCTCACCACGGTCCGAGTGGTTCCGAGTGGTTTCAGAAAGCAAGTGGTATGCTCCAGTCAGATTTACTCGCTTTAACATAGGGCTCGATTCCTCTGGGGCAGTGTGGACAATCGGTTGGTTGGCTCTCACTTCTGTAGCAGGGAACCTTCCCTTTGGATTTGTCAGGTCTGGACGGCCTTCCATTGGTATCATAGAACTAGGCAATTCCCACAACACTGCGATGGTGTTCAAAACGCGGATGCTATGAACAAAAAGAAGCTAGCCAAAAAGCTATGACTCTCTTTCTCTCTCACTCTCCCTCTCTCTCTCTCTCTTTCTCTCTCATTCGCTCTCTCTTTCTCTCTCGCTCTCTCTCACTCTCGCTCTCTCTCTCACTCTCTCTCTCTCTCCAGCGCTCTCTCTCTCTCTCTCTCTCTCTTTCCTGTTTACGTGTGTGTTTTGCGGGCCAATGCGAAGTGGGCAGTTTTTTTTGGATGGACTTTTGCATTTGAATGACTTGAATTGGGATACATTCAAACTTGGTTGGTGGACCATACGACTTACCATGCAAATGATGTCCACCAAAGGGTGTCCGATGAACAAATCATACGAAGAGCCAGTTGATGTGAATTAAACAAGCAGGAACGGTTGGCAACATGGGTGAGTCTTGTGTTGACGGTACCCAAGAAGGGTGCATCAGCGTCTCAATATTTCCGCTTTTTGAGTCTTGCATGTTCAGTTCTTTAGTTCAGCTTGTTGCTATCGAGTTGGCGAGAGAAACGGCCGGATTGACCAAAGTCACATATTCAGGACTGCCTAGGCCTGTGTGACGTCAACTCGACTCGGCAGGGGTTTGTGTTTTGTTTTGGGTTTGTTGCCCTTGGCCTTGGCCAGGTTCGGTTTGATGGCTTGCTGGCTTGGTGGGTTGGTCACGTTTTGGCCGGGTGCTATGGTGGATGCCCTAAATATTGCAAACAAACCAGCCATACTCAACCTCACAACCCTGGCAAACTACGGTACATTAGAGGGTTGCCGCCTTGTTTCCTGCTGCAATATTTGAGGCAGGCTATTGTAGGGGCAGCAACGGGGGCAGAGAGAACCTTCGGGCGTTCAGGAGTACCAGCTGCAGCGCTATTACACCGCGGCAGACGTTGCCCGGGGCCCGGCGTGTGGAGCTGGTGAGCGCCCCAAGCCGATTCCCATTGGCCGTTTAGGTGTACTCGCTGTTTTTTCATCAGGTTATAATTATAATGATAACCTGTTTGGCTATTTGGTATAGGATCTTTGGACTTACGTTTTTGGGAAACAGTGGAACTTTTGCATTGGACCCACAAACAGTTAAACTTTTGCTAAAGTTTAGCTCTATGACCATGTTGGTACCAAAAGTCAGTGGGTTTTGGGTGCTGCTCATGTGGGAATGTGTCGAAGCCTTAGGAATCGACCCCGCCAAATGGATGGCAATTCGATCATGTTGGTTCCCTTGCAAAACCATGCCCAGCGGGGTCCGCTGTTTGGTCGCACACGCAGTCGCACAAATACGCACCCAGTCTCCCAGCCATGCACACCCGCACACGCACACGCACGGACGCGCTAAGGTGAGGGAAATGGGAAGGAACTGACAGCTACGGGTTGTTGGATTTTGTTCAAGTGTAGACTTGAAGCCCGCAGACTTTTGCTTGGTAACCCACAGGCATCTTGCTTGTTTGCTTTGTCTCTCCCGCTCTCCTAAAAGCTGTGGACCCAAAAAATGGACCATGTTTGAAGGACTGCAAGGAAACAGATTGAGTACAGCCTAAATTCCGTGTCCTTTGTCAAGCAAGCACAAAAGACACAGAGGACTCAGGTCCTTCCCATTCAAAATAGACATGGTGGCGAACCCTCGAGAGCAGGGGTGTGGCAAGTTTCACACTCTCAGCCTGGCTACGTGCCCATCTGAGAATTCCATTCCCAGACCAGGCGGAAGCCTTTTAAATTTTTGCCTCTTGGAATGTCCTTTATTGCCCTTGCCACCATGTTTTTTTTTTTTTCACTTTTTGCGGGTTCTGATTTGTTTGGCCCAGGCTCGAAACGTATGGATGGTTAAGCGTGAGTTGAATCGACCCCTCTACCACAAGCATTTTGAGACACACCTTGACTGCAATTGGGTTGGATCTTCAGACTTTAACTTTTTGGGAAATAAAGGTGTTTTCTACTAAACCCCCAAAAAGTTAAACTTTTTGCAAGGGGGTCAACAGCAACCAAGACACCCGCTTCAGAAGGTGGTTAAGGCTTCCGGACGGCAGCTCAGGGACAGCACAACACGTCCCACGACTGCTGGGTCTCCTTCTTTGGGCGAGTCTATGCGCGCGTCTCAGACGCGCAAGGGATGTGTCAAACTTATGTCCTTTGAACGGTTGGTTTGGTTGATAGATGGGTTTATCGCCAAACCACCGGGGTCGAAGATTTGTATTGGGGTCCTGTTGTTTCCCTTCTCCAGGGGCATTTTTGTTCGACGAACAGACTTGGGAACACCCCTGATAGATTAGATGGTTTCAGTTTGTTTCTAAGCATTTACCTAGCACTCGCTTTTTTTCTCCAAAAGGAACACCCACGGTCAAAACAAAACCTATGGAAACCAACAGAGGACAGAACATGTTTAAACCTCAGCCTCCCGCAAATTCCTATATTAGATTTTGAACACTAGGTCTTGAACGGCAAATACTTGCTTTTTCGGTCAGCGGTTGACACTAGAAGCTAAAAAGCGAGGTATTTGAAGCAGCGGGTGGGTTGATTCCACTGATATGAGTGTGGTTCGAATCCTGCACTGCTGGAAGTTAGAGTAGCGCACACTTGCCTGTGGCGATGTGCTTGATATGGTCCCTGCATTTGGAGATGAGTGTTGATTCTAAGCAAAAGTAAGTAGACATTATCTACCCGGGCTGTTCAAAGGTAATTCTTCATCCTTACCGGCAGTTTCGTAGCGGCTTCCCTAGGGATCCTGGATCAGGATTGGCCAAGCCTCCATTTTGAACAGCCCAGTTCGCAAGGAGCCTGCGGTGTCAACAGTTCTCTATATTTCTCCGCGAAATGTGGTTTTAGACATCACCTTGTGCTTCCCAATTCAAAGTGAGTATCCTCCGGGGGGATGTTACGGGGATGCGTTCTGGATTTCTTTAGGTATAAGGGAGCCTGACCAGGAGAGTCGGAAGATACGGACCCAACAGAGCCTTTGTAAAACGTAGAAACTGGAACTGGGCGCTCCGTAATGAACCCAGCATTCTCTCCTACAAAACCACCAGTTGGATGGTTTATTTCGGGGTCATTCCATTTTCTTATTCCCATCTCTCGCACCAGCATGAAAAAGCCGGTGATCGGATTTGCCGGTTTCAGAAGCGAGCTCACCTACGACGAGCGAAAGCCATGATAAAGCTCCTTTACTTGGATCCGGATTTCAACCCCTGGTTCTTGTGGGTAAATGGAGCAAACACCCGTAACCGCCCACCAATTCAAACCAGAGTTGATGTTTCTTTGTCCCAGCCATCCGCTTCCTTAGTTGTTTACTTCTTTTTGGAAGGTTTTAGTGGTAGCTTCCCAATTTAGTCCACTGGCTAAACACCCGGCCATATTACAACATATTCAACCACCAGGATAAAAACCTCCAATCAACCCCCAGTTTACTAAATAGGGGTTCCCTTCCAAAAGTGATGATCGCAGCAAGAAGTGGGTGATGGATGTTTGATTGCTATTGGGTTGGATCTTTAGACTTTAGTTTTTGTTTGGGAAATCCAGGGGTACCAAACCCACAAAAAGTTTAAACTTTTTGCAGAGGGGTCAACCGCAACCAAGGACGGTAGATCGTTCAGGCTGCAGCTTCCTTCCCCGCGCTCGCGCGTTTTTCTTCGGCGGCAGGACCTCACGCCGCTCCTGGCGGAGCACGAGGGGCCCTTGGCGCAGCCCATCATCGCCGCGGCGGGGAGCGACATCTCCTTCTGGTTCAACGAGGCCGGAGCTAGGGTTACGCGGGTTTAGTTTTTGTTTCCATTTACCAGGATTCCATTTTGGGTACCCATTTTCGACCCACAGCCATGTTGTTCGTTTTTTTTCTTTTTTTCTGGGATGTTAGCAACATAGTTGTTCTGTTTTAGGGGGTAGACTGAATATGGAGCAGGTTCCCCCTCTAGGGTGCCCTTCTGCTCCGGTTCTCCTTTTAGTTTCCCTTTGAAACCAACCAAAAATGGGTACCCTCAGAAAAAGAGACACTCAAATGTCATGCCCCATGGAGGAACACCTCGAAGGTACCTCGTAGGTTCTTTTGAACGCGCGGCGCTTTTTCACAAGCGACTGGGTCAAAATGCGAGTGCGTTTTGGGTCTTTTGGGGCAGGTTTCTGGATACTTTGGTACTTGTTGTAGCCTTCAAACATGATAACAGGCCAGGGCGGCCAGGGGTAGAAGCTTGATTTGTAAACGGTTTACCTGTGGTTTCCTGCCGCTACAGTATGGTCATGTCGTGGCGTGATAAGAAAATTATTTGCACTGTTGAGAGTCTTGCAAATTTCTTAACTTGCCGGTCCAGTTAGGAAATCTCAGGTTTTGTCGAGACTCTGGGTGGTAAAATATGAGGGGGTCTTAGCTTTGCTGTGTAGTTTTGTTGCCCTTCGACTACTCACTTGGCCAACAAAGAGGCCTGAAACCAGCCTGAAACCAGTCTGAAACCAGTCTGAAAGCAGTCTGAAATCAGTCAATTCTGCAACATGGAGGAGGGGGTCTCTGGCGGCCAAGACCATGCAGGTTAGTAGCCGATGCGCAAGGAAGAAAACAAGTTGAACCCAAATCGCACCCGTCACCTCAAAATGTGCCATTCGCTCGCAATCGCACCCTTTACCTCAAGATGTGGCACAGAAGATGGCAGAATGAAACCCACCATTTCCTGGCCTCTACACTTTTGTGAATGAGCCGATTATCTTCATGCGCTTGATGAAGCTGCTTGGAGCTGGGAGGTAGGCGTTTCTAATTGACAATCCGTCACTTTGGTAGATATAAGCTACATGGTTGAACAGAAATAGGTGGGTCTGGGACTCTGGGAAATTTACTTTCTGGCCAAGCGAGAGCCTCGTTTCTTGTTTAATCAGGTTTCTTAACACACTGAACGAGGGTACCCCAGGTGGCGGTCGGGTCGAACGAGAACACCTTTCTAGTGATGGGGTCGGGGATATTGCCCCAGATGTTCGAGCGATTTTTCATTTACGGTCCTGATCGTTCTTGTCGGAGCGAAACGCCTTTGAACTTCAGCGCAGGCCACTGGTCAGCCGAAGGAGCATGTGCACCCAGAGACCGGCATGCAGGAGACCAGCGACTGGGGAGGTTTGAAACCCATTTTGGACCTCTGGTTGGGGGGGGCAAGAACCACACTCTGCCAACTCGAGTCGTTCCAAATGTCATGAGGTCTCCAGGGATAGCCCCCTGTGCCATGGACACTTAGACGCCAGTGGTGATTGCAAAATGGACCTCAAGTGTCCATCATAATTCCTCCCCCCCGCCGGCATTCGCCTTGTTTGGGCATCTTGACCAAAAGACTCGCCTGGCAGCCGGCCTTGAGATACCAGTGGCCAGGTACCTCAGGGTTTTTGTGCCATGCCTGTAGCAGTGCTGCCTTCTTTCCTCTCCGTTGGTCCGGACGGTCAGTCCCAGAGTCAACGCTCCGTCAGTGCGCTAGCTGCTAGCCGCGCGAGCAGCTTTTCTCGCGATGTGACATGATCAGCTGCCAGGGTCAAAGGGGGCCGAGAGCCGAAAGACCATCGCATTTTCACTAGCATATTCCAAACCGCCCTGCCCCTGTTTCCGAAAAGTCCTTCTTGGTGAGTTTGATTAGAAGTAGATGGCACTGGTTTAGATTGACCCATTTAGCCGAGTGTTAGCAGGGAAACCCTCCATACCAAAAGGACACCTGTGAGCAAGACCCAAACCCAAACTTGCAGCCTTCCCAGAGCTTTTGAAGAAAACCTGGGGCAGGCGTGGTTTGGATCCTATGATTAAAAAAAGAACAACGACCACCTGCGAAAAGTTCTACAGGAAGCCCCAAGGCTTTGCTGGGTGCTTGGCTGATTTCCTGTAGAAGCACCCCGTAGAAGCACCCTTAGCTTTCCTTTGACTTGTTGTTTCTTTGTTTGTTTGTTTTGTTTTTGCCTAAAAAAAAACTATCGGAAAACAATTCACTTTTTTGCAGGTGGTCTCACTCTGAAACCTGAACACGACTTTTGGAATCCCCATAGATGTCCATTTCACAATTTCGCCGTACCAATCGCTTCGGGTAAATGGATAAGGCTTATGTGGATGGTCCAAACCATTGCGGCAAGAAGCGTGTTTGATTCTTTGCATGGTGTTGTTTTAGACCACTTGACTCAGAAACAGCCAGGATAACACCCAACACCAGGAAAATAGGTGTAGTCATTTTAGAACACCCAACTCCAGCAAAGGCGTCGTTATGACTCACAAATGGTTAATTTGAGTGTCACTCCTCTCCGGACAACTTTGGGCTTTTGGATTTCTAGGCCTAGTAGCAAGCCCTGAATTGGTGGTTTGGATAGCTGGGGATGCGAACCTCTGGTTCTTGTAGAGGGTACGTGGGAAAGCACCCCCATCCTCCAACCACCAATGCAAACCACAGATTGAAAGTATGAAGCTGAATACTTTTCTGCAAGCATGCAAGAGTTTCCGATCCAAGCTCGGAAAGCACCCAAAACACCAATGCAAACCACAGAATAAAATTATGAAGCAGAATATATTTTGATCCAAGCTCAGAAAGCACCCCCCCACCCTCCAACCACCAATGCAAACCACAGATTCAAAACATGAAGCTGAATACCTTTTTGCAAGCATGCAAGAGTTTCCTATCCAAGCTCAGAAAGCACCCCCCCACCCTCCAACCACCAATGCAAACCACAGATTCAAAACATGAAGCTGAATACCTTTTTGCAAGCATGCAAGAGTTTCCTATCCAAGCTCAGAAAGCACCCCCCCACCCTCCAACCACCAATGCAAACCACAGATTCAAAACATGAAGCTGAATACCTTGTTGCAAGCATGCAAGAGTTTCCTATCCAAGCTCAGAAAGCACCCCCCCACCCTCCAACCACCAATGCAAACCACAGATTCAAAACATGAAGCTGAATACCTTTTTGCAAGCATGCAAGAGTTTCCTATCCAAGCTCAGAAAGCACCCCCCCACCCTCCAACCACCAATGCAAACCACAGATTCAATACACGAAGCTGAAAACCTTGTTGCAAGCATGCAAGAGTTTCCTATCCAAGCTCAGAAAGCACCCCCCCACCCTCCAACCACCAATGCAAACCACAGATTCAAAACATGAAGCTGAATACCTTTTTGCAAGCATGCAAGAGTTTCCTATCCAAGCATGGAAAGCACCCCCACCCTCCAACCACCAATGCAAACCACAGATTCAATACATGAAGCTGAAAGCCTTGTTGCAAGCATGCATTAGTTTTCTCTCCAAGCTTGGATCGGCGAGAAGACAGCCATATGTTTGTTAATCTGAATAATCGTTAGAATGGCTCCTTGGGGTCGGATGTTGGGACTCCCCGAAAGACCACTTGGCCCAGCCAGGTGCCCCAGGGAGCCGATGGTTTCCTTCGGCCACTGGGGTCCAGGTTGGGTGACCGAAGTTCTGGAGTCGCAACCGAGAAAACAGATCTGCGCGAGTGTTGTTGTTGTTTTTTTTTTTTTTTTTTTTTTTTTTTTTTTTAACGACTCAGTGTTTGTGTTGTTTGTGTTGAGTTTTGTTTGCGACTGAGTTTGTGTTGAGTTTTTTTTTGTGTGGATGTTGGATTGCGAGCCGATCGATCAGGAGATCTACTGCCCCTGGGGCCGCTACATCCATGTGCAGGGCTGAGATGATCTCAGCATGCCGTTGGGGAAGTTCACATGCTCATGGTTACCAGTTCTTTTTCTGGACCTTGGTGGAGCCTGCCTAAAGGGGTGTTGTTTACGGGATACCAAGACATCCACCCCCCAAATTTCGACAGCCCAGTCAACCTTCCGGAGCGCGACAGGTTCCGCCTCAGGCACGGGGCACGCTCAGCCGGCTTCCGAAGGGATCCCCTCAGCTCAGTGGGTCCAGCTCTTCTGTTTTTGGTGGTTTGGTTTCCAATACTCGTAACCTCCTGAAGGTTGGGTTGATCGCCGCAACCAAGCCATTCCGAGCACGCAAAAAATGCGATGCTCATTTCACAGGCGTTCATCCAGGCTTCAAAGGTGTAACAAATTGGGTTCCCGATGGTCCAAGCCAGAGGTTTTGCTGGCTTCGGCCCAGCCGCCACCCTTCACCCGGGGGTCCCATTTCCCCGCGCCTAGCGCAGTTCAATTTCAATGAGAAAATACGTCTTACCTGGCAGCTTTTGAAGAGTGAATCCGCGTTCTTCAAATCCGACCAGAACAAACCGTTTGGCTCCCTGGCATTGATCCATTGTATACCTCATACAAGGGGCTAGTTGTTTCCCTACATTATTCTTGTATGACTTTCGCATTATGTCGGCGCTTGTAGTAGGTCCGAAAGACTTAACCTTTTGCTTCCGGGTCCTTTGGGCAAGTGAGGAATTGCAGTGAACCCTGGATTGTGCGCCCCTCCATTCTGGGTACATGGAAGAATCGCGGATATGAGTCGCAGATTGAGAGAATGACCCCCGACGAAAAGTTCTCGGCGGGAATGCGTTTCCTTTCATCGTTGAGCCACTCATTTGGCGGACCGGTTGCTCCCCTGCAGATTCACATGGAACCTCTAAGAAGCCGTGCTTCGTTGCGGAAACCCCGTTTTCGGTTTCCAAGTCAATGTGTAGGGGAGTACTTAGTTCAGAGGTCCCTCCTATTCTTCTCTTTAAAAGGATGGTGTTTAACACTGTCAAGTGAGTGTGCTTTTGGTTGGCTGATGAGTGAAACGGGAACCAATCAGAGTTGCCAAACCCTCCGGGCGAACAGGGATCATGACGAGGGCATGTTCAAACGGTTTTGGAGCTATGGGCAGGATTTCTCAACTCAATGGTATGTAAAGGGACACCAAGAGGACACCAACTATTTTACGGGATTGCGGAGATCGCCAAAGGCCCGAACACGTCCAGCTGTGGTCTTGGTCTCTTCTTTGTCCCTTTGCAGTTTGGAAATCGAATTGCGGTGTGGGACGGTGTTTTTTTTTTTGATGTGCTTGGGTTTCATGATTTGCGCTCGCAGATGCTATGATGAATGTCCTTCAATTGCTAGAAACCCCCGCAACTCGTAGCCCTTTAGACCGTTTGAACACGAATGACTTTTCCACTATACACTCCTACTAAATTATAAATGTTAGACCTTGTGCTGAAGTGATACTTGTAAATCATGGGATTGCAGGTCTGAAGCCTTCAATCATCGATGAACAGAAAGAACCGACTTAGCTTTGTTTAAAGCCACCCTTTTGAGGGGAAGAATGGGAGGAACCTTTGAGCTAAGTGGAACCCCCCGCAAATGAACATGGAACGCAGAAAGGGGTCGCCCAAAAGGAGATTCCCAATTTTGGGGGGTTCCATATCTGCAGTGGAGTGTTGTTTGGGGCTCAACATCACCGGGAGCCGTGTCTTCCTTCAGAATCGGAAAGCTCATGGCCCCTTTGGATCCGTATTGGAGATCCTGCTCTTCCAACCCTGTTTCTCGAGCTCCGTGCGATCTTTGAATTCTCGGGCCCAAGCAAAAGGGTCTTCTGATGAGCTCATTGAACTCATTTCTTGTGCTTTGTCCCAGAAAAAGGCTTGGGATCAGCAAGAACCAGTCCCCCAAGGCAGTTTCGGCCGCCAGGGCCCTGAGTCTGGCTGGGCAACGGACTATCGCACCCCCTGGTGGGAGGACGAGCCACTCGGTTTGATTCCCGCGAAGGGGGTGGGAGGCGCGGGGAAAATTTCGGATGCCCTTTTGGAGCTCAGCCGCTGGCTGCGCAATGGTCCTTCCCTTGTGGGAGCCCAAGCACGGTTTGGCCGTGGCTCACATCGCCGTTTCTTTTTTGAGCTCTCTTGCCCAGTGTCCTTTTGGCTTTTTTGGGGTAAGGGTTCCCCTTAGAAAAAAAAGGTCACTCCAATTCAGGGGGTGGGGTCTTGACCAATGTGGCGGAACCAGCACAAAAAGAAAAAGGCGTGCCGTTTTGTTCCCATGGCCGCTGGGCATCTGAGTGAGGGTTCCATCTCTTCTTTCAGGTTTGTGACATGGTTCGCAAGGGATGGTATGGCCCGACCGAAAGAACAACCGGCCGGCCGACCAACCAAGTTAACCACTATGAGCCGCCCAGATCATACTCGAGTGGTTTGGTTTGTTGGGGTTAAATTGCCCCCCGCAAACGAGTGCACAGGGCATGTGCCCAGAAGGAAAGCGCAGCCACAGTTTCAGGAGTCAAGAAGCCTCATCCAGGGAAAGCGCCGAATACGGCTAAACAAGATTAGATAAGGCCGGTCGGTAGATCTTCGTGGGTGGCCGTGTTTGGTGAATCTTATAAGTAGAACCAACAGCTCCGCGGTTTCAAGCGCTGCTCAACTTTGTGGGCACTGACCCCCAAGATTAAGAGACGGGATGTGCACCAATCCAGATGAGCAAACCATCTCGTTGTCTTGGGACATTTCGCTCTTGGTTGTCATGGGTCAATTCTAAAGTGAGTCAGTTGGTTTCCTTGTGCTTGGTGATGTTTCTTATAGGGAATTTTTGGCAACTCCGTATTCCCCCATTTCCGTATTCAGAGTTCAGAATTCTCAGGAATCAAACCCAACAACTTTTTCTGACCCGTTGGCTTCCCAATATTGGCAACTATGTTTGCAGGCGTCCTTAAAGGATACGTTTTGGTATTAAAGACCACCTTTGCCAGCTGTTTGAACTGAATCTGCCCGGGGGTTTTTGGTGTATCCGTTGATCCCGTATCAAGCACTGACCGCCTTGGCTCCGCTTTGGGCGGAGTTTAGAACATGAGACTGTCAGAGCCCTCTCCAGCTGAATTGCCAAACCCGAGGGATATGACTGTGGCTCAAAAAGCCGGTACCAAAACGGAACCCTGGGAAATGGAAACATGAGCCAAAACCTGCGGTTTGCCCCTCCTGTGTAATTTTGAGCCACACCCATATGTTTGTTTCTGTAAAGGATGGTTGAGAAGAGCGCTTGGGATACTTGGGATCAGCCTCTAGAACTTGGTTTGCCGCTGAGCGAGGCGTGCTTGTGTTTTTTTTTTGGCTCTTCTCATGTATTTGTGTTCTAAAGCTTTGTATTTCAGAGAAACTAAATATGAGCCAGTATCAGAACGTCTTGTTGTTGATATACCCCCCTTTTTGTGGGCCCACTAGGATTAGTCATGCACCCCTTCAGGGATTTGAGGAACCGCCAGATTTATTGGGGTAGCCCTCTTGGGCCAAGTCCTCAGGCGCTACTTCATTGGCCTGCGCTCGGAAAGGACGCGGAAGGTGTGCATCGTGCCCCTGGGATTGCGTTTAAGTGTTTCATCGTCACTCGCAGGGTTTTCACAATTGGGACCCGCGAACACGGGCCTCGGGTTTACCTTTGGGCTCCCTGAAACCAAGGTGAAACAAGGAGCGTTCGAAAAAGCGCAGGGGACGTGAGCTAGGGACAATGTGACAAGTGAAGCCTAAGACAACCCCGGATAATTCAGAGTCGCCCCCGAGCCATCCAAGCGGAAGGGTAGAATTTGGGACTTCCGGAGTCCGTTGGGCGTACAAACTGTGCTTTTTGTCCCAGAAGGTGTCTTTAATCTCGCATTTTGAAGTTGAGTCTCACGCAACCCAGCCCGCCCAATGTTTGAATCAGCGGGGCCAGCGTTTTTTCCTCCTGTCTCTGTGAGTTGCCGTCGTTGGGTTCTCACATTTGGATTCATGTAGATGGGGACGATCCCTACAGTTGCCACAAGCCGTGGGGTATGCCCACATTTTCCTACGCGTGTGGCTCATGTGTTAATGTTTCAACCCGTTCGTTAAGGCCAAGTGCGATGAGACATGGCTTGCCGTCCAGTTTCGGAAAGCAACATGCCTAGGACATCGCATGGAACACGTGGACACATGATGGATGGACATACATCCAACCAAATGCCCACCAAAGCCTCCTTCAGCAAGCGAGACAAGTCAAGTTGCGTGCTTCAATTCTCGCGGTGTCCATGCCAAGTCTCCATGGTCTTAATTTGCCCTTTGGCAGTTTTGATGGAAGCCAACATTCGGGGTTTTGGAAGACTACTTGAGTGTGTCTTTTCTGAGGCTACCAATTTGGGGGTTTCGTTGAACACAAACGTCGGAGTCCCCGATGTTGAGACCTTTCGAGGAAGCCCTGAAACGCCCCCACACCTTTTCCCCGGATTCTCGCCCGGTTTTAGTTGAAAGCTTCGGGGGCCCTCCCAGATGGGTTCGCCTTTCGTGGGGGAACACCCAAATGGCTTGGGTTGCCTTTTGGGTTCCAATTGAAACCACGGCAAAAGGGGTACCCTCAACAAAAGACACACCCCAATAAGGTCGGTGGTGGTTCGGAACAGCTTTCACGGGTTCAAAAGGAGGGTTCCCTTCAGGGCTTCCGGGGCTGGGGATACCGGCGATCGAGAAACAAAAACGGTACGCTCAGGAACTTGCTGACCAGACAGAAGAACACCCTCGAGGCACGCAACGTTCGCAAGGGCAAAATCGTTCACCTCAGCACTGCAAACCCCTCTTGCTTTCCATTCTGATAGGTAGTTCTTCCTGGTTTGATGGGGTTTGTAGCAATGACGTCAACCTGTGCAGGCATCCTGTCCAAAATTTGAACATGTTAGATTGTTTGCTCCGTCTAGTAGCAAGGGTGCAAGCCATAGTTTAGCCATGACCCATGATCTGACACCACAATGCAACATCACGTTGGTACGGACGCCATCAACTTGGTGCTTGATTTAGTTTCTAAAGCCAGGTTCCCGTGTTCCCACGGTTCCCCTCACACAAAGGGAATCACTGGGATTGGCCAGACCAGAGATGAAACACTCCGTTTTGATCCGAGACTGACGCATCCAATTTGAATCGAAACCGCGAAACCTAAAAATGCCTGTGTATGCGTGTGTTGTTTTTGAGAGTGCCTTTTTTGGTGACTTTAAGGGAAACCCAACAAGAAGACCACAAATTTGGAGGGTGTAAAGATATATACCCAAATAGGAGGCAAAACGTGGGATCGGTGTGTTAGGCCGAGAGGGCGAGGGGGAATTGTGTGTTTTCAATACTGTGTTGCTTAGTTTAGGACCCCTTTTTGCAGATGTTGGAACTATCGCAAGCATCGCAGATATTGATCGACAAAATGATGCACGGCTGGCAGTGGCTCATCCCAGCATTCATGGGGCTTCATCCATTTCAGCCCAGTGGGTGCGGCTGCAAGAGACTGTTTCGGAGCCGAGGGGATTTGTTGCAGTTGGCCAGCCTTAGGAAGCTCGCAAGGCAGGTGCACACCAAACAGGTTCGCCCCTCCAATCTTTTAGTTCCCGGGTTTTGGTCTCGTCAACCTTCTCCTCAAAATAGTCCCTTGCGCATGTTTAACCATTCCACGGCCATGGGTCACTGGCAGCTGTTTCTCCGGTTCCTTGGTGCAACTTCCGACGACTTGGCGCGCAGGTGCCAGTTGAGGAGACTGTGGCCGAGATCCAAAACCGCTACCTTGTGCACAACGCCCATGCAGGCAAAATGGAATGCAAACTTAGTCTGTTGGAACCCTTTTCTGGCCCCTAAACGGGTATTGCAACGGCGCCTCCACACTCAAACCTCACCCTTTTCAAGGTTAGCTTCAAGGCAAACCAAAAATGAAAAGAACAAAACACACCGTTTTTGTTTTGGGTCCATGGAGCCTGGAGTGGTTGGAAGGGGGACGCGGGTTAGGTGAGGGGTTTGGTTGGCGGGGTTGTTCCCAGCCTTAATTTGTTGACGATCAACAGCAGATCAGTTTGGATCAGCTTGGTTTCTTATGGTTTTCCTTCGGGTCGCCACATTTCTGCAAGCTTGCTTTGTCGAGTCTTGATCATCAATTCTGCGAGCTTCGCCTTGTGTTTACTTGTTCTTTGGACGAGTGAGCCAATAGCTAGATGTTCTAGCGAAACTTTGCTTGGATGTTTGTCTGGAATGTGCTGGCTGTTTGGTTTGAAAATGTGTCAATTGCTCCGGTTTCATGCAAGGTTTACCCGCATTTTGGAGATGTTCAGTGGTTCCGTTAGGCAAATCTAGGCAAATATAATCTTGTTTGGCTTGATCCTTGGAACATCCCCCGCGTTGTTTTCCATTTTCATAGGATTATTTTGTTTGTTCCCGGTTTGGTTCTATTTGGGATCTATCACGACGTTTTTGTTTTTTTCATATATTATTTGTTGCTACGGGACTTAAGCAAATGGAGGTTCCCCAAGAAGGAAAATGGTCTTCTCCATGGGGTTCCCCACGAACGGCCAACCTCACAACCGGTTCCCTTCCACCGGGGTCACTGGTTGCGTTCCCATAGGTAGCTACACCTGGAAGCGTTTGGGCAAGCCACTGAACATGGAGAAGACGCTGGCGGAGAACGGCATGGAGGCATTGAGCACCCTGGGTGCTTCCGCAAAATCAGACCTGGAACAACAGCATACAACACGTCGGGTGTGTGTTTTTGGAGGGTACCCTTACAGTGGGTTTCAAGGAAAAGGAGAACACACACATTTTGTGGGGCCCCGATGTTGACACGTACCCATGTGTGGGTGTGTGTGTGTGTGTGGAAAGCCAGCATTTTAAGTCCCTGTATGTTCACACATGTCCAGGTGGATCTTCATATTTTAGTTGTTTCGGGGTTCCTTTTAGATGGATGCGTCTTTGTTCAGTCGTTTCCCTTTTGCGGGGTTGGGACACTTTTTCAATGGCCAGCCACCCATTTCAAGAGCACACACATGACGTAATTACTCAAAAAAGGCGTTCCTGGACCCTCAAACTATCTCACAGAAAAGGGAAATCACTCAACATTTTGGGGCGAGAACCCATTTTTAAGGTTGGTTCGGAGTTGTCCCAAGGAAATAGACCCCAACATGGTCGTTTTTGTTGGGGGGCCTCTTTGAAACCGCCGGAAGGGCGAAACAAGACATACCGTGACGGACCCCTCCAGTTGGTGGTGCGACTTTTCCTCAAGGAGCTTGTCATTTTGAGTGAGAGATCCCCGCAAAGGTCACATTTGGGTGAGTTGTCCTTTGGATTCACCTCTCTGCAAGCAGTTGAAAAGGGGGTTCCACATTTTTTGGACCTCTTCGTTTGGACCATGTGATATGTGGCATTCATCTTCTGTGCTTTGGACCGAAGGGAGGAATCTATGTGCATGATATCCAATGACCAGCAAAACAAATATGCGCGAAAGAAAACTTCATTGTGGTGAGGTATGTGACAAAATAGCTGGACTCCCCCAAATGGCGGGAAGAAAGCAAGGCAACATATAGGTACTCTCACAAAAACATGGCGGTTCCCAGCCATACCCAGAAAGACTTGCTGTTCAAGTTTTACAGGGATTGACATCATACTATCCGACCTTTCAGTGATTTTCCCTTTTTGGGCCCTTGTTTTCGTGGCCAAAAAGGGTGACCTCCTGTGATTTCTGGGTTCAGGGGCTGCTGAGTTGGGCAAACGAAGCGGTTTCGCGGCAGGACGAGACGGAGGAGTTCCTGAGGCTCTCCATCGACCCGGACAACCACATCCCGGTGATCCACCTCCACTTCAACGACGACCTCACGGAGGCATTGGGATTCGTTTTCGGACTTATTTTTTTTGGCGGTTCACGGGAAGGGGGGGGGAGGTATGGGATTTTCGTTTGGGGCAGTGATGTGTGTTTTTCTTGGTTGGTTCTCTTTCATGTTCTTTTCGTTTGGGGCAGGTCCGGGGGAGGTATGAGATTTTCGCTTGGGGCAGTGATGTGTGTTTTTCTTGGTTGGTTCTCTTTCATGTTCTTTTCGTTTGGGCAGGTCCGGGGATAGTCAACTCCTACAATGTGGATTTGTCCATCGATTGTATTGCAATCAGCTCCCTTGTTCCTTGCTTTTTTGTGGTACTTTAACCCAAACGGAAGCTGAAGGGAGAGAGGTGGGAGACGCTTTTTTCAAGGAGAGAGAGAGAGAGAGAGAAGTGGATTGGTTTGCTGCAAGGAAAGTCTTGCTTTTTCAGTTCACCAGCAACTGGACCACCCTTTGGTTTCCCTTGAAACATCCCACCGGCTACCGGCCGGGGCCCTCAAGTTGAAACCAAGGGCCCTCCTCCTGGGTCAGAGCATGGCCTTCACTCAAATTCCACACCACAAGTTCGGCCAAGGCAAAGTGGGGGTATACAACCATTTTGTAGTAGATCTTGTTATGCAGTATCCAACGTTCCCTTTGGTTTGGGGTAGTTCAAACACAGTTAGACAGGCCATGTTTTGATAGTGGTGATGCGAAAATCAGACCTCGGCTCCAATATAACTCCAGGTTTGGGAGGGCCTCTAGGCATATTCTACAACGGCGCGGTTGTGGTGTTGCTAACCATTTTCCCAGGGGTGCGAAATAAACAGTTGTCGTTCCTACATGAAAGCCAACAAGGGGATATGTTTTATGTGCTTTCAGTTACCACTGGAAAAGGAAAAGTCATCCTTGAATTTACATGGTTTTACATGGTTTTACACGGTTTCCCCTGCCTACCTGCTAGCTGGAAGCACAAGGGGTGTCCACATGCTTTCCAGACCCGTCGGGTTTCGCTGCGAGGCCTGAGCGCTGGCCACCCGCCTTAAAAGGCGCCCGGCAACATGCCGCGGGCGCGCGTCTCACCCTTGGGCCAAAGCGAAGCGGCCTGAAGTTGAACCAGAAGTTTTCCTTTCAAAGTACCCATAAATAATGGGAAGTCGCCAACCATATGTGTGGGTTGCAATCACCTTTTTTGTGGGGTACCCTGAGGGTCCAGGCACACGCTTTCTCTTTTTCTGTTCTCACTTGCAATTTGGTTGCCTTCTGGGTGTTTCTTGGTTTCTTTGACGCGCAAACACACATGCCGGCCCCGGGGTCTAAGTCTGGCCCAGAAATGGCGAAATGGGTGTTTGGCAAAAAGGGCGTTTTACTTGACAAATGAAAGGAAGGAAACCAACAAGTGCTTGAGGCCACACAAAAGAAAGGTTCGCTAGAAACAGGGGGTTTGGAGGGTTTAGGTTCATTTGCAAGGGGGAGTAGTGGAGTTTCTTGCAGTTTGGTCTGTTCATTTTACGAGTGGACAGCTGCAGAGAACATGGTGTTTAGTCACAAAAGTTTGGGGACGAGCATTGGCTCCTTTGTTCTGCTTTGGCTTTGAAGTTTTGAAATTTGACCTAGGTGGCCCCATTGTTCACTTGGCCCTTTGCAAGTCTCCAAGTCACATCTCACCGCTTGTCTCACCGAAGCCGACCAGTCGGCCAAGCCCGCTGCGAAAAGAAGCACCTGTTGCCTTCTCATGGTACCTCAGCGGTTTTTGGAGAAGTGGTAGGTGAACCCTGCATGCTTCCCTGTCATTTGATTGAGATCTGTTGAAATCGACACCGCGGTACCCCTCGGTCAATTCACTGTAAGTTGGGACTTTACCTACCCTCCCACCAATTAACATGGATCCTGACAAGCGGGTCTCTTTAAAAGGAACATGGTCTTCCAGGACCCCCCCCCAAACGTCAGGTTCCATGTCAATTGGCGGGAGGCTAACTCCTGCGAGTGGGTTATGCGCTGTGTGACATCACATTGCTACAGTACATCCCATTGCAAAATATCCCTTCAATACGTTCGCATTGCAATAGAGTGCAACATATACCAACATACTGCATGACATGCATGACATTACACTACATAATGTCACGTCACAATCAAATGATGATAGAAACGGGGATACTAAGCACTCACCGTGCCCTCGTATAGGCCTTATTGAGACCCAAGAGGGCAACTGGACCTTCGACATGGGACTGAATTCGGGCAAAAGGGGCGAGCGCCCCCAAAGGGCTGTGCCATGGAAACTTGGATAGTCCTCGTTGCAGCATAACACTGAAAATAACAGCTCACCAATGGCGGTTGCAACATGGGCTGGCGCCCTCCGTATGAACATTTCGCCTTGTTCTTTGTGGGGAGCCGTCACTGTCACATGTCCATTCGGTTTACTGCCTTCCGTTTGCCCTTGTTCTTAACCCTTACATCATGGCTGCTTTGGGTCCCAAAGACGGATGGACAACTGGAGCATGGAAGCAGAACGTCAAAACACAATCCATCACAATCCTTTTTTGTGGGGTAGGGCCGGGTAGGGATGCAGGGATGGGGGGGGTCTAATGTTTTTTCTACGGCGTGTCTCAAAATTCATGGGCCCTGACCCGAATTTCGAAGGGCAAATCTGTACCGACCTCAAGCACGCCTATTCATCCCTTGAGGCTTCACATCCCTAACCGATCAAACAACCCGGGAGACAAAGTGCCATTTAGGCCTTGTAGGGTATCTTTCCCCATACAATTCCATGGAAGCTGGCAGAGCCTGGTTGGAAGACCCCCCCCCACCCGGGCACCTAATACCGCTAATACCTTTGTGTTTCCAAAAGTATGCCGTGAACTCCTCACTCAAAAGGAGGTATTCACCATTGCATCGGTGGTACATATGCCAGCACTCACACCTCAAAAAACCATGCCTGAAAATGCCAGTTGAATTGGCAAGCTTTAACCGAGCTTTACACAATACCAACTATATAACCAAGTGGGTATTTGGAGTCGCGGGTTACCTCCGAAACTAGAGAGCATTTTTCCAAAAGACACTTGTTTGCAACTTGCCTGGAACCAACTGGAACATGTTCTACCAATCCGCCCGGGCAGTTCGAGCCACCATGGCACCTCGAAAAGGGCCAGTGAGGTCCAAATCCTTGTGGAGATCCACCTGACCCCCAAACTACCCCTTAAAAAGAATTAGTTGTAAGGGGTTCTGCGGGTTATTTGGCTTGTAGGTCAGTGTGCCCACAGGGCTCCTCACTGGTTGGTGACTACCCCTTGGGGCCTACGTGGGCGGCATTTTGTATCTCGAGGAGAGTCTGGGCAAGGACGACGGCCTGGCGGCGGGCGCTGTGACCAATGCGGCCGGGGGATTCAGACCATAGCGCTCGGATTTCAGCGGCTGCTTGTAGGGCATGTCAATTTGTTTACCCTTTAAATCATGCACCGAGTATCTCCAAATGGGTAAATATCACATGCCGCCCTTTTCAAGGTTGGTTTGAAGGCAAACGACAAGAGACATCTTTTGGCGTTCTGTCTCATGGAGCCTGGAATGGTTGGAAGGGGGTTAGGTGGGTTAGGTGAGGGGTTTGGTTGGCAGGGTTGTTCCCAGCCTGAATTTGTTGACGATCAACTGCAGGGAACAACCCGAGAGAACATTCCCCGAATTTTCTCCCATTTGCTGCAAGGAATACTATGTTGTTCCCTTTTTTGGTTTTGAAGGGAATCTATGACTACTGGACATTTGTTGTTGTTTTTTTAACCAGGGGGGTACCCCCAAAAAAAAGTGGGTCTCCTCCATGTTATGTTCACAAATCAAGGCACCAGACTTCGCCTACCCTGTTGAGCCTTTTGGGTTTTATATATTTCCAGCAATCATTTTTATTTGGGTCTTTTTGGGTCCTGAGTTGGGTCAAGTTCACGCTGGGTCCCTAGCGAACATTTTGAGGATCAACCGATTGTTTTGTTTTGAGGCAGGGGGTCTCTTTCAATCACTGCAAGGATTTCAGATCAATGGCCCAGTATCATTGCTGCACAAATTGCTTGTTGGCCAAACATGCTCTGGGGTAGCTTCACTACCCTGAACGCCAGAACAAAGCTGATTTTTTGCAATGAGTCTTCGTTTGGGCAAGTCAACGGCAAACCCCAAAAAGACTGTGAATAAAAAGGATATGAGCTTTGGGATTTGGTCGCGTGGCAACAGACAGGGCTTTTTATAGGATGGCTGTGAGTGTTGAATTGGATACTCTCCAGAATGCTTCCGAACGCACACAATGATCGCTAACATGAGGAGCTTCCCCAAGGTTTCATGGTTTTCATGGCAAGCCTTTTTGTCAGCTTTCATGGTTGTTGGAAAGAAGCAGGTTGGGATTTGTTCCACCCCCCAAGAAACAACTCCGTTCTTTGTTGCAGAACAGCACCTGGAAAAACAACTGCCTGTGATGTCCCTTCAAACCCGGAACCAGGGCACCAAAACCATGCTGTTTGCTCACACAAATGGGGTGGTGTCCTTTTTTTGGTGGGAGGGTTGAGGGTCCAGGACCATCAAACACGACCAACCTGTCCCACACCTCACCCAGAGACAGAGCGCGGCTGCGAGCAATCCGAGCACCGAGCGCGCGCCCAGGTGGCGACCATCAAAGAGGTGCTCACCTTCAGGCGTTTGCGCCTGGAAAACTTCGATTTGGTTAAGAATATTTTTTCCCCAACAGCTGAAAGCTTTGGGGTCTCAGCCCAGATAGGCTCCGGGGTGGTCCGGGGCGGGTTCCACCAGTGTTCCACGAGGTTCTGCGAAGGCTGCGGGGTTGTCCGTGAGGTAAGGTTCCACGAGGGTTCCACCAGGGGCAGGGTTCCACTAGGGTTCCACCGAGGGTTCCATGAGGGTTCCACGAGGTTCTGCAAGGGCTGCGGGGTGGCGCGAGAGCTAAAAGAGCACCGCATGCTGTTGGGGATATCACCTGAGCTTATTTATTTCCCCCTGTTGGTTTTACAGGGAATTGCTTAAGATGGTGTGTTTTTTTTCCCCTGTTGGTTTTAAAGGGAATCTATCACTACTGGACATTGTTTTTAAACATATATTTTTTCCCAGGGGACTTGAGCAAATGGAGGAAAAGTGAGCGGGGTCAAAGCCCTCAGAAATATGGCCATGGGTTGCATAACCTATGGCGATCCCATTTTGGGGTGGATGAACATCCATTTGCCACCTATTTTGATGTTCATCAGGGGTACAGGGGTTTGACCCACAGCCATATGTTGCTGGACCCTCAAAGTACCCCTTAAATTGGCTTATTTCCCCCAAAGAACTGGGGCGAACCTTTGTTATGGGTAGTTTGAGGGTCCAGGGTGTCTTGTGTTGGTTTCCCCTCCAAACAAAGGAGATCCTCAAATGCACACTTTCAGATGGGTTTGGAGACACTGTGGATGGTTGCGAACCATTTCGCTGCGCGAAATGAAACCATGGTCTTGAAACCGTATCGTTGGTTGGTATTAACAAGGGAATTGAACGAGAAACGAGGGTTTCTGAACTGGTGCGAAATGGGTTCGTCCATCCACAGTGGTTCCCCTATTTGAAGACAGACCCATATGGTTGCGGTTGACAACCTGGATCTGAAACAGGGACTCAAACGGGACTGTTCCAAGTGAGTTTTCGTCTACCTTCAGGGAACCAACGACTAGATTTCTCTTTGTTTGCCTTTGAGACCCGGATTTTCGGAAAGAACTCTTTGCCTTTTCGGTTCATTTTCCTGCCAGCGACTTGGGTGTGTCCTTTTTATTGAGGGGCCTTTCTTGGGGCCGTCGAACCACCACGAGGGAGACGTTTGGACTCCGCGCAGTTTGGAGTCGCGAATTATGTCCTGGCGCGAATCGACCTCTTGAGCTTTTGGTTGTACCCCTTCTGCTATGTCTACTTTGGGTTCCTTTTTTCCAGACCCATTGGGCAAGTGAGTTTCATGTTTTCGTGTATGTTTGTTCTGAAGAGATTTTAGTGTGTGGCTGCAACGACAACGTGTTTGGCTCACATGCCACGGGTTGAAAGAGGTTCCATTCATTTCCGGTGCCATCGATTGGTTTCACCTTGGGGGCTGATGGGGCAGGTTCACAGATC